AAATAGTTTTATATACTAAAACTACCTCTCCTTTGTAAAATGGTTAATTTGTGCTGAATAACTCTTACAGAATCAATGAAAAGATCCCTAAATATTTGTGAGATTTATAATCTACATATCAAAATCAGACAGGAAAAAATAGAGAAGTAAAATTATTAATGTCACACATATATGCATATATTCTAAAAGTATTAGTAACCAAACACACACAAAAAATATCATGACCAAGAAGGGCTTAATCCAGGAATATAAGCATTTTTTTTTTAACGTTGTAATGTGAAAAGACTTGCAGTTATCTCAAAAGATGATTCAATATCTGTTTATGCTAAAACCTCTTAGCAAAGGAAGATATAAAAGTGATCTTACTTTTAAAGGGAATTTCCCAGAAAGCTGTAGCAAATAACTTAAAAAGTACAGTTATAGAAACATTTGTAGTGAAGAAGACAAGACAAGGACCAAAGAATGCTGCTTTTACTACCAGTGTTCCACAGTGCACTGGCAGTCCTAGAAAAAATGTTGAGAACAGTAGATAAGTTATAAAGATTTAAAGGGAAAAAACAAAACTATTTTTGGTATGTATCTCAGTGAAATTAACAAAATGAAAACAGATTAGCCATTAAAACCTATAGAAGATTAACAAGAAGGCATTTTATAAGACTAACAGACTTGTGGACTCTGGGAAAAGGCGAGGGTGGGTTGTTTCAAGAGAACAGCATCGAAACAGGTATATTATCTAGTGTGAAACAGATCACCAGCCCAGGTTGGGTGCATGAGACAAGTGCTCGGGGCTGGTGCACTGGGAAGACCCAGAGGGATCGGGTGGAGAGGGAGGTGGGAGGGGGGACCGGGATGGGGAATACATGTAAATCCATGGCTAATTCATTTCAATGTATGACAAAAACCACTGCAATGATGTAAAGTAATTGGCCTCCAACTAATAAAAATAAATGGAAAAAAAAAATTTAAAAAATAAGACTAACATCTGCAATTAAATAGTATGCTTATACACTGTGAAATAATTTTAAACACTATATTTTGTTACTATAGCAGGAAAAACTTAAAATAATTTAATAATCATGCAAATCTTTTATAAATAAAAATATAAAACTTTTTAAAAGAAATAAAATCAACTGAAATAAATTGAGAAGTATACCATAATAGATAAAAGATATAATTTTCTCAAATGGGTTTGCTAATTTAATGTAATCCTAATGAAATCCTGAAATGTCTTTTCATGGCACATGGCAAACTAATATAAAAGTTTTCATAAAAATAGGCTTGGAAATTCCCCCCAAACTGACTAGTTAAATTAGATGATGATGGTGATGCTGGTAGGTGATGGTAGTGGTGGTAGTGGACCCAGTATTTCAGTCATGACAAATTTCTGTTGATTAAAACAGTATGGCCCTGTTAAAATGAGTTATAGTAGCAAGGATAAAAACAAATCCACGTATAAATTAGAACTCAATATTAACATTAATGAAACTACATCACTGTTTCATGGAAAAACAAAAAAAGATCCAGTGAGATTTAGTGTGTGAGTAAGTGAATGAGTGAGTGCGTGTGTGAGTCACTGAGTCATGTCCTCTTTGCAACCCGATGGACTGTAGCTGCCAGGCTCCTCTGTGCATAGAATTCTCCAGGCAGGAATACTGGGATGGGTTCCCGCTATGTCTCCAAGGGATCTTCCAGACCCAGGGATCAAACCCAGGTCTCCTGCATTGCAGGCAGGTTCTGTATGGTCTGAGCCACAGGGAAGAATTAGTATGTTTGTGTATCAATGGTATTATAAATTGTAAGTCAGTATATCATAAGGTAATATTTCAAGCAGTTTGCAGTACATTTGTACATATGTAAGGTACATACTGTAAGGTTTTCTTACTGCTGAACTTGAAAAAAGTTAATACTGAATCTTAGAAAACCAGAGATGATTCTTCAGCTGTATCTAACTCAAAAATAAAATAAAAATATTAAAAACAACAACTATAAGGTCATGTCTCCCTCATCTAAAGTTCATTTATCTGAACTGTTTGGAAAAAACTAGAACAGGGAATTAAATGTTAAAAACAAACATATGATTCCAATTCTATCATGTTTTGGAAAAGGCAAAACTGTAGAGACATTTAAAAGATCAGTGGTTGCCAGGAGCTTAAGAGGAAGGGAGAGAGTGAAAAATAAACAGGTACAGCACAGAAAAATTTTAGGGCAATGAAATTATTCTGTATGATATTATAATGGTGCAAACCTGTCATTCTGCTTATGTCAAAACCCATAGAATGCACAGTACAACAAGTGAAACAACGTGATTTATGGAACTTAGAACTTATTAATATTGTCTCATTAATGGTAACAGGTATTGATCATGCTAATGAAAGATGTTCCTGATGGATTAAAGTCCATAGGGTCACAAAGAACTGGATGCAACTGAGCTTGCATGCATGCAATGCAAGATGCCAAATAGAGGCAGGAGAGAAAGGGTATTTGGGAATCCTGTATTTTCTGCTCTGTTTGTCTGTATTTTTTTTTCATTTATTTTTATTAGTTGGAGGCTAATTACTTTACAATATTGTAGTGGTTTTTGCCATACATTGACATGAATCAGCCATGGATTTACATGTGTTTCCCATCCTGAACCCCCCTCCCACCTCCCTCCCCATCCCATCCCTCTGGGTCATCCCAGTGCAGCAGCCCCAAGCACTTGTCTCATGCATCCAGTCTGTATTTTTGAAACTGCTCTATAAAAACAAAGTATACCGATTTTAAAAAGTAAACAAGAACATGTAGCTCCTTAATTAGAGCCACGATGCTCAGTTCTAAGCAGATTTCCTTTTTTCGTATATAAGACACTCAGGTATTCTCTTCAAGTCTCTTTACTCTTGTTTTAGTTATAATTTTTTTAGTGTAGTGATTTTCTATTTGAGCTGTTACTTTGGCACATTCAAAGTAGCTCAGTGGTAAAGAAATGCAGGAGACAGCTTGGATCCCTGGATTGGAAAGATCCCCTGGAGGAAGAAATGGTAACCCGCTCCAGGATTTTGGGCTTTCCTGGTGGCACAGATAAAGAATCTGAGATAAGGAATCTCAGAGAATCTCACATAAAGAATCTTCCTGCAATGTGGGAGGTCCAGGTTCAATCCCTGGGTCAGGAAGATCCCCTGGAGAAGGGGATGGCAGCCCACTCCAGTATTCTTGCCTGGACAATTCCATGGACAGAGGAGCCTGGTGGGCTACAGTCCATGGGGTCGCAGAGTCGGACACAACTGAGTGACTAACACTCTCACTTTCATACCTCAAAGAAAGAAGCAACTTATTTGTCATAATAGTTTCTATCTGGCAGTAAGAAGTTCAATTTGAAGGCTTGTCAGCAAAGTGTGTCTGTCTTGCAAATTTTTTTTTTTTTTAACTTAGTTGCCTCTGACTGTTTTACAATACCATGCACTGTAGCCCTCTGGCTCCACTGTCCACAAGGTTTTCCAGACAAGAATACTGGAGTGGAGGGCTTCCCTGGTGGCTCAGTGGTAAAGAATCTGACTGCCAAAGCAGGAGACACAGGTTCAATACCTGGTCAGGGACGATCCCACATGTTGCAGAGCAACTTAGCCTGAGTGCCAGAACTACTGAGCCTGGGCTTGGAGCCGAGGATCTGAAACTCCTGCAGCCTGAGCACCCTAGTGCCTATGCTTGGCAAGAGCAGAAGCCACTGCAATGAGAAGTGCACCACAACTAGAGCCTCGCCCCCACTTGCTGCAACTAGGAAAAGCCCAGGCACCAATGAAGACCCAGTATAGCCAATAAATGAATAAACAAAATTATATAAATATATATAAAAAAGAACACTGGAGTGGGTTGCCATTTCCTCTTCCACAAGATCTTCCATATCCAAAGATCAAACCCACACTTCCTGCATTGGCAGGCAGATCCTTTACCCCTTACTAAGCCATGAGAGAAACCCCTACTTTGCATTAGCTGCTTTCTCATTGTCATCCCCACCCCAACACTTTTACTTGGCTACCCTAGAATGTCTCCTAGGAAAACTACCTTTCTACCAGTACTTTCTTCCTCCCCACCACCCCAGTCCTCAGACTTCCCAGGATCCATCAGATACAGGATTACACTTGTGATCATCAAAGACCTTCAAAGATCCCTTCAGGGCTGTGACTGAAGTCCTTTCTGATTGGTATCTTTGCTTTGTTGTCAAATTTTTTACTATCAAGCATGAATAGAAAAACTCAAAGAGGCAGAGCAGTTGGCAGAGATTTAGAAGAGAGGTGAGAGACATATAAACATAAGTACAAAACTCCAATATTTGAAAATATATGTAGCTTCAAAAATCTTTGTTCTTTTAATTTGTGTAATGCTTTCCAGTTTTCAAAGTAACAATGTAGTAATGAATCAAAGAGAAAAGGTTTAATTATTTCTACATGTGATTTTGTTTTGAAGCTAGGCAAGTATTTAAAATTGTTTGGAAATATTTTTATCTGATTATTATTATTATTTTTTAAATAGAGTCGCCCACATATCCTTGAGATCTAGTTCTGTGTGTTTTTCTGTTGAACCCCATTGCAGTTTTTAATATGAAGTTTAAAATTGCCCTTTTGGGAGGGAGATGGGAGGGAGGGTCAGGATGGGGAGCACATGTACACCCATGGCTGATTCATGTGAATGTATGGCAATAACCACCACAATATTGTAAAGTAATTAACTTCCAATTAAAATAAATTAAAAAAATAAAATAGCCCTTTTATGGCTCTACAGTTCTATGAAGTTAGTAATTGTATCTTAGTCATCATTGTATAATAAGCACCTAAAATTGTCTACACAAACTTTCCAATGCATATTTGCCAAAAAGTGTGACATTTGTTACCTAGAAAAATTCAATTGTTTGGAATAATTTGATGATCTTGTAAAAATAAATTTGGATGCTTTAAGAAAAATTAAAAGAGCAGAATTTAGAAAAATAAGTGTATTTTAATTTTGTTTTTGCTTTTTTTTTTTTGCAGAGGAAAGAATTGTCAACATGAAAATCCAAACAGTCACAAAATTTGAAACAGTTGCTAATGTTGTTGGATATTTAAAGGGTTTGACATTTCCAGGTAAGTAGACCCAAGTATTTATAATCTACATCTTATATAGTGTTAGTTGCTCAGTCGTGTCCAACTGTTTTCGCCTCCATGGACTGTAGCCCGTCAAGCTCCTTTGTCCATGAAATTCTTCAGGCAAGAATACTGGAGTAGGTTACCATTTCTTTGGGATACCACGGGATTTTCCTGACCCAGTGGTTAAACCTGGGTCTCCTGCATTGACAGGCGAATTCTTTACTGTCTGAGCTCCAGGGAATCCTGTCTTACATATCACAAATGCTCTGTAACAATATCATAGTTAAGTGTCCTGCTTTAGAGGTCATTAGATTCATGCTACTTTAAGGGGTGGGTAATATATAAAAGCAAGAAACAGGTCTTTATTCTATTTCATACCAAATCTCTTCAAAGATAAATCATACTAAAGAGAGTAAGAGGGGAAACAAAACAGAAAAAAAAAAAAGCGTTTAGATTTGTTAAACTGGCATGTACCTTTGAGTGAAAGTTACAGAAGTCATTGTTTTTCTTTTATTCACTATAACACCATTGAAGATTTTATTTTTATAAAGACCTTTTTAAAAAAATGAACTATTTTAGTTTTATTGTTTTTTTTTTTAATATTTTTTGGTTTCAAATATTTCAGTGTTAGTCTGTGTCCCATCCCTAATCCTTGGTTCACCACCAATTCTGCCAAATGTTTGTGTAGCTTTAGGTTTTGAAAATGCTTATGAAAAAGTTCACCTGGCTAAATTTTAAATAGTTTTATACCTATGAAACCTTCAGGTGATGCTGTATAGGCTAAAGAAATGAAAATAACTCACAAATATATTAATTATCTAATTAACATCAACACTTCTGAATACATTGTGAGACTGAATGACATCACTGTCTGTGGTGCTTGTTACATACAATATAGAATGCAAGTCTTTTGGTACATTTGTGCCACTTCTATTTATTTGGTAGGGTTATTTACTCAAGTTCTTTCTTGAGAATTTTCCGTCTCCGTTATTTTAGTCAAACTGACCCCATAATTGCTAACTCAGGGAATTTTGAGATCAAGTTTTACATCCCTGACAAGTTTCCTGCCAGCCAACACTAAAAATTCACAGGCATCTTCTGTTTGATTTCCTTACAGTAGCAATGTTGAACAACCTCTGATTATAATATTTTAAAATGCAAGATATAAATGATTTTGGAGATTGTTGCTGTTGCATTTCAACCATTTCAGTAAATTTCCATCATAACATTCTCTAATTGAAGTATTAGAAATATTTATCATCATTGCTAAATTTCTTAGTTATTTTTGAATAAAATATTGTACTGAATTATACTAGATTTAGGATAGAAAATCTTTCCTTATTGACACTCAATGTAGAAAAAACACCAACTTTTTAAACTCAGTTTAATTAATAGTATTCCTTAATGTATAATATGTTTCTCATTTTTATTTGTACTTTACACAAAAATATTGATCATTCACATGTTTTCTTTATTTAATGACTCTGAAAATGATAAATGGCATCAACTAGTATTTAGTTTTTTACATATGGTTTATCTAGAATGCAGGCTTCCCTGGCGGCTCAGATGGTAAAGAATCTGCATGCAATATAGGAGACCTGGGTTCTCTTCCTGGGTTGGGAAGTTCCCCTGGAAAAGAGAATGGCAACCCACTCCAGTATTCTGGCCTGGATGATTCCATGGACAGAGGGGCCTGGCGGGATACAGTCAGTGGGGTTGTAAATGGTCAGATACAACTGAGCAACTAACACTCACCACTTATCTAGAACACAGACAATTCCAAACAGAATTTTTATACATATCTGAGAGATGCGTGAATCAATTCAACATTGCAGGCAAACCATATGTGTGTATCAGTTGTTCAGCAGTGTCCAACTCTTTGAGTCCTTATGTACTGTAGCCCACCAGCCTCCTCTGTCCATAGGGTTCTCCAGTCAAGAATACTGGAGTGAGTTGCCATTCCCTTCTTCAAGGCATCGTCCTGACCCAGGGACTGAGCCCAGGTCTCCTGCTTACAGGCAGATTCTTTGCTGTCTGAGCAGTCATACTATATATACCATTAATTAAATTTTAACACACTGTTGACGTATTGAATTCGTTGTTGGTTCCAATATCAGTGAGGAAAACTAAAATTGCTTCACTCAGTAATGTTTCCTGTAAAGTAGCTTTTTGATGCCATGAAGCCAACAGGTGATTTACTCATTCCACACATGTGTAGTACTTACTTTGTGTCAGGCACTATTGAAAGTGCTTTACTTATTTAAAACTCCAAATAACTGAATGGAAATAGAGACACAGTTATAGAGAATAAGCATGGATACCAAGAGGATATATCTTTATCTATATCTAATAGATAATAAGAATCTACTGTATAGCATAGGATCTTTATTCTGTGCTCTGTGATAACCTGAATGGGATGGAAATCTAAGAAAGGGGATATAGATATACATATAATTGATTCAATTTATTGTATTGCAGAAACCAACACAACATTGTAAAGCAACCATATTCTAATAAAATTTCTAAAACTAAATAAAATTAAAAAGAAATGATGTAGGCACTATTTTATACCCATTTTATGGTTGAAGAAGTCAAGTCATGAGCACCTAAACAAGCTTGGCAAGGTCATACAACTAGTAAGTCAAATACCCTGGATTCCATCCCACGCAGGAAGTCCTTAAACTCTGCACACTTAAACATCATGTTATGGAACATCTGCTCAGAAAATGACACTTAATGAAGAAAAACGTTTTTGCACAAATTATAGGGCTACTTGCTCAAGTAAATTTAGATGTGTGCCAACAACATCCACAGACAACAAAATCAGCGGAAACTCTGGAGATGCATTTGTAGTCTACCTTATTACTGACAATAGTCAATATGTTGTTCAGAACCCATCCATGTGTCATAGAGACCTTTCTAGTAATGTACCTCATCAATTTTGTATGATTCTATGAAATAAAATATGTGAAATGAGAATAGTTGGATGACTTTTGATGATGATTTTTTTTTTCCATCAAGGAAAGGAGAGGGGTTAAAACTACAAGTTGGAATGAAAACTGGTTCCCTAAATACTTCATTTATTGCAAAATTCCTACATAAGTACCACATTTTAACATTTACAGTGACTGAATAATTGTTCCATCAAATGTAAGAATAGTTCATTAATATTTACTGAGCATATACACATTGTTTATAGGGCACTTCCCACTATGATTCTGGAAAAATGTTAGATTAGGTTTTCATTGTGGCATATTTCTGTACTTCATTAATTAATATGCATGTTGCAGAGGACAGTAATATGGATCTAAGCTTTGGATTCATAATTGAGTTCAGCAGCTGCCTCTGCTTTGATATACACAGATGTGTGAATCAAGACAGTGGGTGAAAAATGTTAAAGTAGTCCTAATTATTAGAATAATTTTGCATAATTGTTGCTTAGTTGTGCAATAGGATTATGTAAATGTCATTAAATTTATTGTTAAGTTTTATATTATGTTTCAGTGGCTCTTGTTTCCTTCCATTTCCAGACCGTTATGTCATAGTTGGCAGCCATCATCACACGGCTCACAGTTATAATAGACAAGAATGGGCCAGCAGCACTGCCATCATCACAACTTTTATCCGGGCCTTGATGTTACGAGTTAAGAGAGGGTGGAGACCAGACCGTACTATTGTTTTCTGCTCATGGGGCGGAACAGCTTTTGGAAATATTGGCTCCTATGAATGGGGAGAGGTAAATGTACATTAATTATTGTGTCTTGCTCTCATAATTGCACTGTAATGCTCTCTCTCTCTCACTCTCTTGCTCTCTGGACTAGAGTAGACAAAGTCAAACTGATGAGGCCATTAGCAGGAATGTACATCTCAACCAGAGTGTGCTGTACGCTCACTTGCTGAGATCACCTCTTAGAATGCTAAGGAGTTAGATTTAGACCACAGTAAACTGTGTGTGGTCTGCAGCTATCTTTTCCTTGTTGCTACCAGACCTACGTACTCTTTTATACCTGCATTGGGGTTTACCTGGTTATTATGTCAATCCTTAGATTGACAGGTACTGGACAAGGAGTGAGCAAGTGATACATACCACTACCTTTTTTTCATAAACCTAGCAATTTTCTGAAATTAGGAAACAATCTTATTTGCTAAATGTGTATTAACTTGGCATTATATCTTACCTAAACAATAGATAGATTGGACTCAAAACAGCAGTTTCCTTTTTTCTGCCTTGTTTTCTCCCTCCCATCAATCCTTCCTCCTATTCTTACATTCCTATCTCCCTGCTCCTTCTTTCCTACTTGCATCTCTACCTATCTACTTACCTGCCTACTTGCCTAACTACCTTAGGTAGCCTTTGTTTTGGAGAAGGAAACGGCAACCCACTCCAGTATTCTTGTCTGGAGAATCCCATGGACAGAGAGGCCTGGCAGGCTATATAGTCCATAGGTTGCAAGTCAGACACAACTTAGCGACTAAACAACCACCCAGCCTTTGTTCAAAGGAAATCTTGTGTGCAATGGATTACAGTTAGAACACAACTGGAATAAATCTTTAAATGCATCTGGTATGTCTGCGTCTCACAAATACACTGTTTTTAATGGGATATAACAACTTTGGATTTATTCCACATTTACAGCAATAAACAGATCATAAAACTTTTAGATTTTCTATTTACTTTTATGATTTTATAAAAAGAATTTTAACAGAAATAAGGATTTAAAAAAACCTATGTAAGTTTAACTAGGAAAAATAAAAACATTTGATATTCTAGTTGCTTACTACTTCAGCTTTAGAGGAAAAAATATCCCAAATATATAATGAGAAATTCTTGTTTCATTTTTCATTTAATCACTCAAAAATACACAAAATGTCTATTGGCTATCAAAAAATAATCAAAAAGGTATACAAATGAAGCTAGCAAACCTCTTTTTTAATTTGACGAAAACAGGTTTCAAAACGAGAAAAATTTTACAGTTGTAAAGTTTATCAAGATTCCTACATTGGAAATCAAAATACTTTTCTATATTTAAATTAGTGGTATGATTTTTTTTCCATTACTCAAGAAAACTAATTCAAATAAATTCCATTGCTGACAGAATCTTTTAAAGCTGACAGATTTTTAGTAAGATGGAAAATGTATGAGTAAAGCAATCTCTCAAACTTCTATTCCAAATTCTTTACTTTAAGGATATAAACAATTTGAAAAACAATTTGGGGAGTACATATGTGATATGGGCTGATTTTAGTAATTCAGAAAATTTTTATCACAAAGAAAACTATGTTTTAGTTTTCCTGTAGCAATAAGGCACATTTTAAGAAAATATCTTTAAGATTCTTTCAAAAAAAATTTTCCAGTATTTTATACAGCCTTTTCCATAATAATTTTCAGTCAATTCATTTTAATTCTAACTTGGCACACGTATTTCTAAGTTGTGTTCTCAAAGTAGGCTTGTGCAACAATAGTAGTTCCTAACTTAAATTTCTAAATATCATTAACCCCTCTCCATGGGGAAGTATATTGCAAATAGTGCTTGAATTTATTTGAGCATCATGCGTGGTAACCATAAATTAATTCAGTATTGTGACCTTTTATGTGTGTGAGCAATTATATTTTCACATTACGTAAATATTTTTTGTAGTTAATAAAATATTTTATTTATAGACTCTGTTGTACCTTTTGGTCATTTTATACTTTCTCAAACAACAGATACTAAAAATACAACTGTTATATTGTAAGGGTCCATAGGAAAAAAATGTTTCTTATAGAAAATGCTCTTCCTATTCAAAAAGGTTAGAGACCTCTGTCTTAAAATATTTATGTGTATATGCATATTTGACAAATAATTATACACCTAATCACTTTCTGGCTTTTTCCATGACTAGATGAGCAAAAATGTATAATGAAGAAAATAATGAATATTGTATAATTTAATTATTAGCCCATACTATTAGCCCGTACTATTGTAAACTACTGTGTCTTAGATTATGTCAGTATAGTTCATGGAGTATTTTTGTAACAATCAGGTTGAGGAGGAATTTAGAAAACTGTTAGTTTTCCTGTTCTGTCTACTCTTATCAAGCCTACTTTTTGTGAAAATGGAAGACTTTTTCTTTTAGATGAAACCAATTTGTGCACTAAATATATTCCCTAATGAAGATGAGTGAGGAAAGCACTTGTTGACAGGTCATAATGCCCTTTCTAATTTTGTTTTGCTCAGGATCCCCTTGAAATACAGAGTTATAATTAAAATGATTAGGCTATATTGGCCAGATGGAATTTTTAGTGATAGAGCTATTAGGTGCTTTTGATCCTTGAAGAGAATTAAATAGTTTCTTTAAAAAAAGCACCATCTCTCCTGTGAAGAATCTTCATCTCAGGCTATTATGGAAATACTACAGATTTTGCAATCAAAGAAATCAGAGTTCTAATCTTCTGTACAATAGAACATGTGATTTTAGGCAAGAATAATTTCTCCAAGGCTTGATTCCTCCTAAAAGTATACTAATGTCTATGTTATGAGGTTCTCATGAGAATTAAATGGACTGACTTATAGACATTATCAGTGTGGTAGTATGTTAATAGAAGCTGGTTTTTTCTAATAGATCTTGTGTAATAATAAACATTTTTAATAACAACATTATGTGTAAAGCAGAGTACTTAAGCTTAAAGTTCATCATTTCTATTCAAAATATTTATTTTTAAATGAATTATCTTTTCACTTCTTTTACAGAGGTAGAACTGAATTTTCGTCATAAACTAGGAATAATATTGATATGCTGGATATACAAGCCTTTGCAGACTTTCATCTGATAGTGTTGGAAGAACAAACAAATGTTTTAAGGCATGAAGTAATACAATTTTTAGGATACTCCTATAGAACTGCCACCGTGATAATTACTCATTAAATATTTGTGTAAGAAAAGGAAGAAAATAACAGAAGGGCTTCTTAGTGGTAACTTATCAATAAGATCAGTGGTCTTCAATTTTTGGAATTTGGGTTTAGCAGAGAAGTGGAATGACTAATCTACTGAATCATTTTATGCTAGTTTATGGGTGAAATGCATCAGGTTTTATTTCAGGTAATGTGTGCAGGGCCACAACTGTATTATTCCCTATTTTGTTCAGAATAAAGAGCCACTTTGTGCAAAATGTAGCTCAACACTCCAAAGGAAAGGACTGGTTTTATTAAACACTGAAGTGATTTATCCATGTCTGTTCTCTAGTTCAAAGTCTATAAAATTAAATGCTGTCCTAGAGCAAATATTCCATGCTGTATTCTGAAGTTGAATCTCATACTATATAAACCATACAAGGATATTTTTCTCTTAAACTTTTACATTTTTGAGGGACATGAACATGCTTTAAAATATTGCGTGGTATATTGTATGAATATACAATAAGGAGTATACTTATTTAAAGTGCATTTAAATATCATATTTAAATATTTAAACACTACCCTTACTACCGTTATTTAAAATACATTTATGATCCTTGAGTACTCTATTAAATAGTAAGAGATTGCTTTAAATACAAAATATAAAGTATTATGCAAGGTAATGATTTTAAGTAGGACGTGTTTATTTTTCAACATGTAACTAGTAAAGTGTAATATGTCACTTTTATTTATCTTAAAGAAATATTTTTCTTTCTTTTCTTTTTTTTTTTTTCTAAATTTCAGGATTTCAAGAAGGTTCTGCAGAGAAATGCTGTGGCTTACATTAGTCTCCACAGTCCTGTAAGGGGTAACTCAAGTCTCCACTCTGTTGCTTCACCATCTCTTCAGCAACTGGTAGCTGAGGTAAGATGAACCACTTTCATAAAATGATTTTGTAAAACTGCCTTTTTCTCCATAATCTGGCATTTCTTAATATTTTTATTTTTTAAAATATACATGAAACTATCCATAAGTGTTTTAAGGAATGATTTATTCCTGACTTTTTATCGTTGTCTCTTCAACCGATGTCCTATGTTCTGAAATTCTTTATTTACTACACTTTTATGGTTATAGTTGTAGGTGTGAATTATACATTTATAGAGAATGTGTGTAAAAATGTACATTTATTTCTTAAAAATTGAATTTAGTGCTTAAAGTCCCAATTCTGCTAATTTTCCATGTTGTTATAAACTTGGTTACTTGGGGATTTCTTCTTCAGTTATGTTTTGAGTAAATGTGGGTCCTCTTCTATCTCTTCAACCATGGGGTAAACCTCCTCATAGCAGGACCTGTGTCTTATTCCTAGAATATAATGAGAACTTGATTCAAGATACTTGGAAAGTATTGTTTGAAAAAAAAATTATGGAAAAAGAAAGAGTGTTTTTTCCTAAAAGTACCTTGAAAAAAAATTCATGCAGTTTGTGATAATGTCTTACTATAGTTACCTATTTATTTATTTTTAAATTTAGTTACTTCTCATCTGTTTTGAATAAATTTTTTGAACATATTTCCTCTTATATGGGTAGAATTCACACCTTTGCTTCCGTACTCTTTCTATGACTTTCACCCAGATGACATGTGTTATGTCTAGAAATGAAAGCAATCATGCCACTACTCTAGGGTGGCTTCCTCCCAATTCCAAGGGCTAATGATATGTATTAGAAAATGACCTTTTAGATGCCACAGAGTTTGCAGTATCACAGACACTGAATTAGAAAAAGAGCGAGAGAATGAACAGTGCTTTGAATTAGCCTTAATTCTTGTTTAAAATGTAATGCAAACTAACACCTTATAACTTTCATGAAGTATTTTCTAGTTTAATAGGTTTCATTGACATTTCCATATGTAGTATAATAATGAAGACATTATGAAAGATGAAATAGATAAATCCATACATTTAAGATCAGCTAAACCTCAACGTCGGAGAAGGCAATGGCACCCCACTCCAGTACTCTTGCCTGGAAAATCCCATAGATGGAGGAGCCTGGTGGGCTGCAGTCCCTGGGGTCGCTGAGAGTCGGACATAACTAAGCAACTTCACTTTCACTTTTCACTTGCATGAATTGGAGAAGGAAATGGCAACCCACTCCAGTGTTCTTGCCTGGAGAATCCCAGGGACGGGGGAGCCTGGTGGGCTGCCGTCTATGGGGTCGCACAGAGTCGGACACGACTGAAGCGACTTAGCAGCAGCAGCAGCAAACGTCAATGTGTATGTCCTAAATCATATCCAGATCTGTGAGTCCCTCCTACCCTTTCACTGCTTCGAATTCTCTGACTTTCTTAAACACCTGGGAAAAAAGGCTCAAGAGGAGAGTCAGTTGTAGATGTCTCTCTTAGGAAGTTAAGATATTCCTGAGTAAGTGGGTTAACAGGAAGAAGCAATTATGAGATCTAATATCCAGTTAGTTTAAAAATGATGTCTTTTCCTTCTCTTGTATTACAGTTTTCCTATTTAAGAATCTTGAAAGATATATAATCACTTAACTTAACATACAAAAATAAATAAACTGTTAAGGACTTTATAGTCCTTAGAACTATCTACCTATACTAATATTAACTCTAAAAAAAGTCTGCAAATATGATATTATTTAAAATGTCTTTGTACATCTTATAATAGACGGCTGTAAAATAGTTTACAATCTAACCTAAAAGGTCTGAAAATATGGCATGATTTCCAATAATGACAGATGTACATCCTTATTTGTTGGTAGAGGAAACATTTTGTTCTATATTTGAACATAATTATTTTAATACTAACCTAAGGATGAGCTGAAATCTGTAATGAAAGAAAACTTCTTTCAGTTGAGATTGTGGCTGTGTGTGTGTTCTATAGAATTATTTGAAAGGGTAGGATTATCACAAGTTCAAACACACCATGGCATAATCTAAAATAGTGGGGTTTACTTACCTATATATATTTATGTTATTAATATAGAACAAATATGATAATTCAATGCATATTTGTATACAAAATTTTAATGTCACATTTTTCTTTAAGATATATAAGTTCCTTAAAAATATAAAAGTCAAGACAACCAAAGGAAACAATCGTCAATAATGTGTATGATATAATTAATATAACTGCTGCTGCTGCTGCTGCTGCTGCTGCTGCTAAGTCGCTTCAGTCGTGTCCAACTCTATGTGACCCCATAGACAGCAGCCCACCAGGCTCCCCCGTCCCTGGGATTCTCCAGGCAAGAACACTGGAGTGGGTTGCCATTTCCTTCTCCAATGCATGAAAGTGAAGTCGCTCAGTCGTGTCTGACTCTTTGCGACCCCATGGACTGCAGCCCACCAGGCTCCTCCGTCCATGGGATTTTCCAGGAAAGAGTACTGGAGTGGGGTGCCAGTGGCATATAAAATAAATATTTAAAATGCTCCTTTCAAAGAAAGAACTTAATCGTAACATCAGGACATAATGTAACTTCATTTACAAAGACAAAAATATTTTATCAGTCTTTAGTATCTTTATATTTCATCAGTTTATTTAAATCCTTACCATATACAAATGTCATGTCCCATATAATCCAGTACAACTTCACCTCCCCCTGCCACAATTAAGCAACAGAACATATTCAGAATGATTCAACATGGAACAATATTTTCTATAAAGAAAGCATGCTGACTAAATTGAAGATGACAAAAGAATATATAGAATTGAGTAATCTTGTATAGCAAGTACAAATTCTTGAAGACCTTGCTAAGTTCATGTGGTGGACATCAATCTGTTAGGTGGAATTTTTAAATAATTAATGCATTTGTTTTTTTAAAATAATTTTATTTAATAAATTTATTAAACTTATTTAATAAATAAATAATATTATTTTAAAAATAATTTTTAAATAATTAATGCATTTATTATTACTGCATTTATTTGAGGAAAAAAAGACACAATACAGGCTATTTTATTGAATTAGAACCTTGATGAATACCAAAAATATGAAAAGGTTTTCCTAAATCAAACATCTTAAGCAGCTTAAACTTCATTAGTAATGTGTTATTCCAATCAAGAAAGATGGTAGACTTCTCTATACATGACCATCAGACAGTTTAGTAAGGACTTTTGTTTGTTTGTTTTTATTTAAGACTTACTAGGTAAAACGAGGTATAATTTATGCTTGTAATATTCTCCCTTCTTGTGTGTACAGCTTGATGCTTCTTGACAAATATATGTATTTATTTAAGCACCACCACAATCAAGCTATACAGAATTCCTATCACTCACAAAAGTCCCATCAAATCCCTTTGTATTCAGTCTCCTCCCTTCATCTCTAGTTCCTGGTAAACACTGATCTGACTTCTGTCCCTTGTAATTTTGTCTTTCAAAATACCATAAAAAAAGGAATCATACGGTATGCTGCCATTTGTGTGTTGTGTCTTTTCCATAGCATAATGATTTTTAAGATCTATGCATGTTGTTACATGTGTCAGTAGTTCTACAACATCTTGCTAGACCACTAAGGAAACAGTGAGTCATGATTAGGATGAGTGCAGTAACTTTGGACTCTGGCTTGATATTCTAACTTTGGTTTAAGAAAATAAACTAGTTCCCTGGGGTTAGCCCAATAAAGTTGAACTAAATCATCCTAAGTGGAAGGAATGATTCCATCCTAAATGATGGAATCTTTCAAAGATTCAGAAATCTTTTTTAATTTTAATTCACTGCAGTGTTTTAAGGATTTTCCTGGGATTCTTGAAAACTTGATTTTTAAAAAATTGCCCAAGGAACAATGAAAAAGTTGAATGCTACCAAGGTTGGGTAATTGGAACATGAGAGTTCATTGTACTGCTCTGCTCTCTCTTCTTTGGGGTTTATTTGGAAATTTTCATTATAACTTGAAAAAATAATTTCAAAGTACTTAATTTTTCTAAGCTATAATGCTGATAACTAACAAATTATTTTATCTTCTGAAAATAGCAATAATCTGCCAATGACTTACACATCAAGTGGTAATAAGGAGCAATAGATAAGGTTTTTATATGGTCAACTTTTTATGGAACTTTTGTAACTATTTTAAATATGCTTTTCTGTTCTTTTGTGTAATACATATTTTTATAAAGTAAAAATCATTAGTTCACTTAAAATAAGCTTATAAAGTATGAGAATTTAAAAACAAAAAATTGCAAAATAAATATTAATATTTATTTAAATTTTCCATTTAATAAATACATATATATATTTTTAAATGATAAATTACCTGTCTTTTGTGAAAATATTCATATCATATTAATATTTTACTTAATATTGACATTTTATTCTGAAAAATATAGGGAAATAATTTTAAAATATTTTCCTATAATAGTAATGCTGAAGTGTGCACTATAGACATCACAAAAGTATGTCAGTCATATGAAACAAAGGATTTTTGATAAAAATCTAGTGAAATAGTTACAAATTAACTTTTAGTTAAAAAAAAATCTCATCTGCCTGATACCTTAAAGGATTCAGATGTGACTCTCCTAATTTTGACTCTGTGGTTGATGGTCATTTGGATTTATATGATTGTTTCCAGTTTTCAGCTATAATGAGTTAGTTGTTATTATTATTCTCATGGGTTGGTAGAATGTGTGTACTCCTTTTTCTTGAATATTTATATAGAAGTGGAATTGCTAGGTCACCAGGTTGCCTTGTGTTTAAATTTAGTTGACACTGCCCGAGAGGTTTTCTAAAGGACTTATGCCAATGACACCTCCACCAGCATGAATGTTTGAATGTCGCAGTTGCTCCAGGTCATCCCCAACATTTGGTTCTATCATTCTCATGAATGTATAGTGGTATATTTGGAGGTTTTAATTTTAATTTCTCTGATGATTACTAATATTGAACACCTTCTCACTTATTGTTTTTCTTATCAATTTGTCAG